CATCCAGACCTGGCATTACAAGCCCAGCCTGTGGGCTGGGCCACCTAGCCAGCTCCTTTGCCAAATTCGTAACCTTTCTCACATGGTTGTGTAGCCTTTTATTTACTTGCTTGTCTAACAGGCCAGCCCTTAATTTTTCTTGTATCCCAGCACTCAGCCCTGCGCCTGACACATAGTACATAGCCATTACGCTAACTGCTGGTCCCCCCCCCCCATTTACTTCTTTCATGAGAGTGAAAGGCAAAGAGAGACACACCGTCCACTGGGTATTATGTCACAATTCATCCCAAAACCTGAGCCTCCCAGTGAATCAGGATCGTGGTCACACACACCCAGAGAATAGAGTCATGCTCTTCCATACAGATCTGGCATTACTAGAGCAGCCTGTACGCTAACTGCTGGTCCCCCCCCCCCATTTACTTCTTTCATGAGAGTGAAAGGCAAAGAGAGACACACCGTCCACTGGGTATTATGTCACAATTCATCCCAAAACCTGAGCCTCCCAGTGAATCAGGATCGTGGTCACACACACCCAGAGAATAGAGTCATGCTCTTCCATACAGATCTGGCATTACTAGAGCAGCCTGTGGGCTGGGCCACCTAGCCAGCTCCTTTGCCAAATTCTTAACCTTTCTCACATGGTTGTGTAGCCCTTTATTTACTTGCTTGTCTAACAGGCCAGGCCTTAGTTTTTCTTGTATCCCAGCACTCAGCCCTGTGCCTGACACATAGCAGGATACGTAGAAATGTTGAGTGAGTCCGTGAATAAATAACCATTCTATGAACTCAGCCTTCTAGGGACCTCTGATTTTTCAGGAGAGAAGCTGAAAAGTGGAGAAATATCTCCCACGATCCCGACGCTCACTCCTGCGTAAGCTCGCACTTCCTCTCTTTTCTGAACTGTCATATGCATCCCAGGCACATGAGCACTGCCTTCATCAATTCCTCCTCTGTGCTACGGTTTTCCCCGCCAGTGAGTTAGCATGTTGCTGTGTGTCATCGTGACTCCTTTTTCCTCTCAAAATCACGAGTGACTACCACAAGCAAAATCTCGAGGAAAAAGATCCAGATGCAAAAAGAATACAATGAAATGATTCTACTTACTTACAGCATGTGGACCCTGTTGGGGGTGCCTTCCTCTGTCATCAAAGAAATGCATCAATAAAGTAAAAAAACAAAAAAAAAACAAAACAAGACAAAACAAACCTCGCAAAATAAGTCTATGCCATTGGAAGTCAGGAGACCTTTGAGGAGGAAGAGGTAGTGAGTAGGAGAGAGAAATGGGGGATTCTGAGGTGCTGATGATGTTCTTTTTCTTTTTTATCTTTTTAAGTTAAAAAATGTTATGTACTTATTTATTTTGAAGGCCAGAAGGTATGTGTATTCACCAGAGAGAAAATAGTGGTGGTGGTAGTGGGGGGAGGGATGGAGAAAGCACCCCTTGCAATGGGGTATGGCCTCCATTTCTGCACCGTCAGGATTCTGAGCACACTCTCACTTGTGCTTGGCATGTTTTCCAAGCCCCCAGGACTGGGCTTCCAACTGGCCATGTGAAATCCAGCTCCCGTAATCAGTAGGTTATAAGGCTGGCCCAATGTTGTGTTTCTTGATCTGTTCATTTTATAATAACTGGTTGAGCTGACACTTAGGATTTGGACACTTTTCCTCTTTGTACTTCAGTGAAAATACAATTAAGGGACAGGCAGTGGTGTAGTGATAACATAACAGAACCCACATGGGAAGGTCCTGGGATCACATCCTGAAGTGTCTCTATACACAGCGTGTTTGTACCCTTGTGCCCTATACACAGCGTGTTTGTACCCTTGTGCCCGTGATCCGGGCCAGTTGAGATGCTTTGGATTACAGCATGTAGACCCTGTTGGGGGTGCCTCTCTGTCATCAAAGAAATGCATCAATGAACTTTAAAAAATAGATATTATTTTCAGAAGATAAAAACACTAAGAAAAGTAAAACAAAGCACAGTCATTACAGGGCTTTTAACTTTTTAATTTTTTTGAGAGGTTTTCACTATAGGGCATGTGCGCTCGCCAGACAGACAGAGAGAGAAAGAGAGACAGAAAGCGAGAAAACACCCCCCAGGGGGGATGGCCATGCCACAATCCCTTCTCTTCCATTCTCCTCTCTGAATCTTGGGCACGCACACACACGCGCCCAGTGTGAGTTTTAAGCCACCAGGTCCGGGATGTGAACCGCAGTCGA